CGGCGGGAGCGCGCGGGGCGGAGCTGGGCGCCGGGGCCGCGGGGCGCGGGCGGCTCGGGCTCGGTTCTCCCTCCATTCCCCGGGATCGCGGCGGGCTCGGGCGGCGGCAGGATGGCGGCTGGGCTCCTGCCCCTGCTCCCGCTGCTGCTGCTGCTACCGGGCCGGGGGCCGCCGGGGGCTCTGGGCAACCGGCACGCCGTGCACTGGAACAGCTCCAACCCGCAGTGAGTGCGGGCGGGGGCGCCGGGACCCGCACCGGGAGGCGGGTGGGGAGGGGGGGGTTATCCCCGGGGCCACGCGGGGCGGGGGGCGCCGCCGGGAAGGACGCGGCGGGGACGCGGTGGGGATCGCGCTGAAGGATGCGCGGGGGGCGGCGGGCGACACCGGGACTGCGGGACCCCCGGTGCCGGTCTCCACGCGGCGCCCTCCTGCGGGCGGGGCTGCCGASCCCCGGGTGCCGGTGCCCCCGGTGCCCCTCGCACTGCCCGTGGAGGAGGCGATCGCTGCGGCGAGAGGGGGGCAGCCGCCCGGCCGATTCGCGTCCCCGTGGCCGCGCTGCCGGGCGGGGCTCGGCGGCTCCCGGTGCGGGCGCTCCCCGGGTCGTGGGCACCGGGGGCAGAGCCCCCCCGCCAGTGCTGACCCACTGGGGACAGCGGGGAGGGTCTGGCTCCCCCAGGCATCCCCCTGCCGGAGCGCCGGGGCGGGCAGGGGTCCCGCTCCCCCCGCCAGTCGCGCCCCCCGCATGTCTGGGTGCGGGAGCAGCACCGGCGGCGCGGCGGAGGCGGGGGGGCCCGACAGGTGCCCGCCGCCCCCCGCCGCCTCGGACCGGCGGCAGTGACACCCCCGGGGCGGCAGCGGTGGCTCCCGGGGCTGCGGGGGCGGTGGTGGGGGTGAGAGCAGAGGGTGGGAACGGCCAGCGGGAGCATCGCAGCCGGGGGTCGGTGGCTGTGGACGCACAGCCCCTCCCTCACACCCTGCGCCGGGGCTGCCCCTGTCCCTGCCCTGCTCCCACACCTGAGAGCGGATGTGCCCTGGGGACTGTCTGGGCTGGACCCTCGCGGGAAGGGCGGGCTGCGTGCCTGTGGTGCGTCCGTGGACCCCTCCACGGGGATCTGCGCCCGCTGCCATCGCCCACCTCTCCATCCCTCGAGCGCCCAGGGGTGTGGCGGGGACGTGCGTCCAGCCCTGAGCATCCCCTGGCGCCGGCCGGTGCGGGGGCTCCCCTGGGTCCCCCCCACCCTGCGCCCCTTTGTGCAGGGCGGGAGCAGCCCCTGGCAGCCCCCTCCCCTGCCATTGAGATTGTGTCGCCAGGCGGAAGCTCGGGCCCCATAAATCGTGCGTGTGTGCGACATGCCGAGGCGCAGCACAATGGCGAGGTGCCGTGCTCGCCCCGCCACGCTCAGCATCCCTCCGCACCCCTCCCCTGCTCCGGCCGGACCTCCCTCACCCCCAGCTTCGTCCCCACACCGTGACATTGCCACGACGTCGCGGGTGGCACCAACCCCCGCCCTTGTCCTGCCACAACCGAGGGTCCCCACCCCGTGGCCGCCGTGACCCGCCGTTGCCCTGGCACCTCTCGAGGGACAGGGTGGAGGGGGTGCCGGTGGCACCCGGGCCGTGCCAAGCCGGGGGTGTCGCAGCCAGACGCCCGCACCCCCTGCGCAGGCGTGTCTGGCGCGGCCGTGAGCGTCCGGCTCAGGGCATGGGCGGCGCGGTGGGGGCGGCTGCGGCAGAGCCGTGTCCCAGGGACTCCGGAGCTGATATTTATTGTTAGGCAGTGCGGCAGCTCGGACGCAATTATAGCCGCACGGCAAAGTGTCTGGATTAGATAAATTATGGGGGGAATTAGGCTCCCTGGGCCGCAGCCTGCAAATCCCAGCAACCCTGCTGCAAGCGGAGCCATAAACAAGCCCAGCGCGGCCCTGCGGGGCTCTCCAGGGAGGAGGGGGTTGCTGGCGGTGGCCACTCCTCGGGGGCTGCGCCAGGCACCTCACGGATTTATTGTGTCTCCTGCCATGCGACCCTGGGTGCCCTGTTGCTGCCCTCGGCGGGATGACAGGATGAGGAGCAACCTCGGGAGCAGTCCATGGAACCCACCGAGGTCCCGACGGTGCCTTGGCAAGCAGGGGGCTGGTGTTAGCTCAGCCCCCCAGCCATGGAAGGGAYGGTTGGGGGTGGCAGAGGGCCCAGGAAGGGTCACCAAGTTGGCAGAGCAGCCCTCGTGCCATGGGTTTGGGGGGTTTTAGCAAAGCCCAGGGGAGGTGTGAAGGTGGCATCCTCGCATCCTGCTCCTGCTTGGCCTGGCTGTGGGTCCAGCTGTGTGTCCCGTCTGTCTGTCCCATCAGATTGGTGGCAGCCAGCGAGCCCTGGGGGTGTGGGATGACCCTTGACTGGTCCCCACCCGCCACTCCCCAGTCCTGCCAGGAACAGGCCTGGTGGCATGGGACAAAGGTACAGGACAGTCGTGTCTGCCCAGCATTGGTTCTTGAGGGGCCTGTGACCCTGGGGTGACCCACAGAGCCAGGCCAGGTGTTCCTGAGGTGTCCCCTGGCTGAGCTGGGCCCTGCCACGCTGGGATGCTCCCTCCCTGCTGGATGCTGAGGTGGGGACAGTGTTTTGTCCCTGTTCATGGACACCGACATGGCCAGCACCCCCAACACTGCTGCACCCCAAGAAGGACCCCAGATCAYGCTGGGGTGTGCCACGCTCTGCCATTTGGTCCAGCGTGGGGACTGAGGGTGCTCAKACTGTGAAGATGCTTGTACTGAGGGCACTGGGTGCCATGGAGGGGGCAGAGCAGGGGTGCTGCAGGACGGGGGTACACAGGGTGTTGGTGTCCGGCTGTGGCGTGGGGGCAGAGCCCACCCATGTGCAGGGACGGCCTGGCCCTGTGTGCAGCCCCCCAGCTCATGCAGCCTCCCCTGCTGCCACGCTCACCTCTTCAAGGTGGCTTTTATCTGGCTTAGACTGTGTCGCAGGCAGCAAGGGCTGGAGTGGGCTCTGGAGAGGGTTGGAGTGGGCTCTGGAGAGGGTTGGAGCCGCCTCTGGAAAGCTCCAGCTTGGAGCAGGCTCCCTGGGGAGCACATCACACAGGAGAGGAGGAACCACGGCCCTGCAGAGCAGGTCTGGGGGGGCTCGGGCTCCTTTGCAGCAGCCAGACCCCAACACYGGGGCTGTCCCTGGCCGGATCCCCCGATCCTATCAGCTGGCCCCCACAGGGCTGAGGATGGAATCTCCCACAACAAGCGGGGTCGGGCACATTCAGCAGGAGGTGCTGGGCAGCTGTGCCCAAGGAGAAGCAGTTCCATGCCCAGTTGTGGGACAGCGCCCACGACACCACCTTTGGTGTCCCCAGGCTGGCTGAGGGGGGCTCAGCCACCCCACACCCCATAACTCTGCCCTCCAAGCTGCTTYCCAGGGCACCCAGAGACCCCAGCCACCCACCCAGCCGCGGGTGCTCACCGCGGCGCTGGCAGGAGCGGGTGCCCATGGGCAGAGCTTGCCGTGCCCCGTGAGTCACGGCGCTGGGCGGCACCGAGCCCCGGCAGCGAGCCCCGGCGTTCCCGTGGGAGAAGCGGCTGTGGTGTCGGGGTGCAACAGGGCCGGGGCCACCTGCTCCTGCCCGGGCTGGTAATTGAGTCACCGGTTGCAGATTGATGGTTTAATTAAAACCCAATTAGAAACCTCATTGATCTTGTTAGGAACACGGGAAGGTGCCGGCTTTAGCCGGGATTACAGGGATTGTACACCCGTCGATAGCGACGGGGCTGTTGGGGGCACCTGTAGGGTGCCGCTGGAGTCCCGGCGWGCTCGGGGAGGGCTGTTCCTGTCACCTCGGTGCTGCCCGGTGACATCCACGTGGGGAGCACCCCTCTCCCTCCCCCCCTCACCCCTCCGGAGCCCCAATTCCCCACGCAGGGAGGTGGCCCCGGGGACACCGTGTGCCGGCGGTGCCGTTAGCGCCCGCGCCTTGCGGCTGCGCCAGGCGAGGCCGGGGGGGCTGTGCTGTGGCTCGGTGCCACCCGTGTGCGTGGGCTGCGTCGCAGGCGCTGTCTGCCGAGCCAGCGCGCGTGTGCGTGGCCGTCTGGGCGCCGTGACTGTGCAGCGCTGGCTGCGTGGGGAGGGCTGGCACGGGGGGGCCGCGCTSAGCCCCTCATCTCCCCCGCGGCGGAGCGGTGGGCGCGGGTGGATGGACGGTCGGTCTGTCGGTCTGTCCGTCTCTCCGTCCGTCGGGGTGGACCGGCCGTAGCGGTCGATGCGCCTTTGCCTCTCCCCGTGGTGCGGGGGTGACGGGAAGGGGACTCGTAAATCAATGGCAYTTTTTTGTTCCCCGGGTGATCGATGGGCCCCGGATGCGCCAAAAGGACGAAGCTGCTGAAGCCAAACAAAGAGCCCGGCTGTGCTGGGGGTTGTCCAGTGCCGGAGGGCACGGTGCCGTCACCACATCGAGGACATCCCGCATTGCCTCGCTCCTCACCACCGACACCACCAATGTGGGGTGCTGAGCCCAGCTCTGGCCCTGCCGCCCTCCAGGCCTCTCCAGCACCACGGGAAGGACTCTCCCGTGTGGAATTGGTGTGGGGGTCCAGACAGGGGTCTGGTCCCCGCGTGCCACTGCTGCCGGGGCGTGCTGCAGTGCACCAGGCGCTCCCCAGCAGTGCGGGAGCCAGTGTGCGGCACGCAGCCCGGATTTATGGCAGCAGATGGGAGCGGAGCGGCCGCCCAGCTCACCGGTGGCTGCGGCGTGCCAGGTAGCCAGGGTCCCACCAGGGTCCCTCCGGTGCAGGGCTGGTGGGCGCYGAGCCCGGGGCCAGTGCTGCCAGGGGACATCCATCTGCCCAGCATGACAGGCTGCTGGAAGGTACCACTGCCTCGCCAAGCCCTGCTCTACAAACGCAGTCGTGCAGAAGTGATGCTGCCCGTTCTCTTCCCGCACTTAACCCTTTGGGCACTGCCAGAGCCCACCATCCCCACCGGCCATGCCACGGCTGCTGGAGCCCGGGGTATCGAGCGTCCATCCCGACCCATGTTGCTGGTGCTTCCCGATAGCTGTGGAGTTGGCAGGGACCAGGCAGCTCCGGGGATGGGTGCTGGTGAGAAAGGAAGCAAAGTCCCTCACTCAGTGCCTGTTCTTCCCCTTCCRCCCCAAAACAAGGCCTACGGGCGCCCTGGACCGTGCTGTCAGCAGATCTTGGGCCAATGCACTGAGGGGCTGCCGGGTTTGGGCGTATCCAGCTGTGTGAGGGAGGTGCTGCTCTGCAGTGACTGYGCAGGAGCCAAGCACGGCAGGGACACGGTGTTGTGGCCAAAGCTGCTACCGGGGTCCCCTGGATGTGCCTCGGGCTGTGGTGTCCCTGTGGCTCTTCCCATTTGGGGAGCCTCTCCCAGCTCATGATGMTGCCTGTGGCTTCCCGGCGTGTCCTGGCAGGTGGCAATGTCCGTGGGATTCACTACCATGGGGCTCTTGCCACACCACCTGCTGCTTCTGTACCCTACCGTGGGTGCTAGTGTCCCCCAGCCCAGGGGACACTTTGGCGCCTCGTTAGTGAGGCTGTTTATCAGCAGCCACACTTCTTAATGAGCCGTRGCTTAACGAGCCCAGGCGGGGGGTCCCAGGAGAACTTTCCTCGGCGTTTGGTGCCACAAGGGAACGGGGGTTACCGCTCCCCAGCACCCCAGCACAGAGTGTCGCATGTGACGCTTCCTCAGATCCCCCATCCCATGGCACAGCCACAGCCCGACCGCGGGGAGCCCCAGCTGCCGGTGCCCGCCCCGGTG